TTGCAAGAACTTGTGGCTGGTACTCTGCATGGTTGTTGTTGTTCAGTCGCACAGTCGAGTCCGACTCTTCGCGACCCCATGGACCAGCTCCCTCCAGGCCCTCCGGTCTTCCGCCATCCTCTGAAGTTTGCTCAACTTCATGTTCGTTGCATCGATGACACTGTCTAACCATCTCATCCTTTGCCGTCCCCGTCTTCTTTGACCTTCAATCTTTCCCAGCATCAGGGTCTTTTCCAGTGAGTGCTCCCTTCTCATTTGGTGGCCAAAGTATTTGAGCTTCAGTTTCATTATCTGGCCTTCCAGGGAACAGTCAGGGTTGATTTCTTTTAGGATTGACTGATTTGATCTTTTTGCAGTCCAAGGGACTCTCAAGAGTCTTCTCCAGCACCATAGTTCAAAAGAATCTATTCTTCAGTGCTTGGCCTTCCTTATAGTCCAACTCTCGCAGCCATACATGACTACTGGGAATACCATTGCTTTGACCATGCGGACTTTTGTTGGCAGGGTGATGTCTCTACTTTTTATCATGCTGTTTAGGTTCGCCATCGCTTTCCTCCCAAGGAGCAGGCGTCTTTTAATTTCATGACTGCTGTCACAGTCTGCGGTGATCTGGGATCCCAGGAACGTGAAGTCTGTCACTACTTCCACGACTTCCCCTTCTATTTGCCAAGGAGTGATGGGGCCGGATGCCATGATCTTAGTTTTTTGATGTTGAGCTTCAAGCCCACTTTTGCGCTCTCCTCTTTTACCCTGAGCAAGAGGCTCTTGAGCATGGTTAGCACAATAGAAAAATTCACTACCTGTGTTGAGAAAGGACGTAGTCTTTGGCCATAAGAACTGCTTTAAAAAACCTGTCCTCTCATGATCACCGATGTCAGTAAGGGGTACTGTGGTCAACGAACAAATTGATCTAAGATATTGCGAAATTAAGTATACGTGGGGGGGAATCGTTTTGCCATTTCTGAACCTATTACAAATACATTTCGTGGGTAAACGAAATAGTACGAGCGTATTAAATTGTACTACGACATGACCCCTGGATCCAACTCAGATAATTTTGCATAGAATCCTGTAAAGATAAGGCTCAATCTGCATGCCGCGTAACTCTGCTTCGTTCAGCTGTGCTGCCAGCTTCCGTTGCCTCCTATTTGGCTCAGTATAAAAGCTTGCCGTCTGCATCATGTTAGGTAGAGCGCACGAGAGAGCGGGGAGGTGTGGCCTCTTGGGGGCGCCAGCAGGGCACTGCACTGTGCTGTACTGCGGGGAGGAAACGGCGCCTGCGACCCCCCCACAGAAAGTAAAGGGGAGTGACCTGGGGGAGGGGGGCAGGAAAGACCAAATGAGTTGGGTAAAAAACACAAAACACCCGGTAGTTGCCAGGCAGGGCGTTCTGGGGACCAGTGTCGCCCCTAAGCTGAGTGAGTGTGAGCTAGCTCACAGGGTTTTTTAGCCTCCGGCTCACACATTTTTGCCTTCGCTCAGGAAGGGAGGGCTTCAGAGCAAACTGATTTATGCAGCAGCCAAATTGCCGGCTCCCAACTTTAATGCCAGGAGATCGCAAAGTGGGATTTTTGCTCACAGGACTCCACAGCTTAGAGGGAGCATTGCTTCCAGCGGTGTTCCCTCTAAGCTGAGTGAGTGCGAGCTAGCTCACAGGTTTCTTAGCCTCCGGCTCACACATTTTTGTCTTTGCTCAGGAAGGGATGGCTCCGGAGCAGACTGATTTATGCAGCACCCAAATTGCCGGCTCCCAACTCTAATGCTGGTATCTCACAAAGTAGAATTTTTGCTCACAAGACTCCACAGCTTAGAGGGAGCATTGCTGGGGACTGCCCCAGGATATAACATATGGTTCGGGGGTGGGCACACTTCCAACCACCCCCACCCCCCAATATGATTGCAGAAAAATGATCCCTGGGTGCTTTTCAACACAGACGACTGGATTTTCAGCTAACTTGTTTCCTTTGTGACAATTTGCATATCTCCTTAGAAAAGATGGGAAGCGGGGGGGGGGGAGAATCCGGCTCCAGTAGTCTGCTTACCGCTCATGGTGGCTTGGAGGGCGGGGAGGAGCCAGGGCTCTTTTTGTAGCAGGAACTCCTTTGCATATTAGGCGACACACCCCGAATGTAGCCATTCCTCCAAGAGCTTACAGTAGCCCCTGTAAGAAGAGCTCTGTAAGCTCTTGGAGGATTGGCTATATTAGGGGGGTGTCACCTAATATGCAAAGGACTTCCTGCTACAAAAAGAGCCCTGGGAGGAGCAATTAAACCACCTTAAAACCAAATCCACATGACGCAGTGAGAGGCTATAGTGACCTCAGAGTCACCACTAAATGGCAATAAAATGATGCAGACAGCTAATGCTGAAACGAAGCAATATGAGAGCAGATGCAGAATGAGATGCGGACAGAAATTTGTTAGACGAAGTGGGGTCAGTGGCACAACAGCAGGAAAGACCAAAACAGATTGAACCATAGTATTCTTAGTGCCGCCAAGATCCCGCTGGGGGTGGGTCCCATTTCCTGCTGCCACTTCTGCAGCCAGTGGGAGAGAAATTATCTAAAAAATTCTTGTCTGGTAGCAGCATGATGTAATTTCTGGAGAAAACCTGGAAGCGATCTTAGTCCTCTCTAGGAATCACCAGAAACTCTGTGGTTTTACTATAGAGTTTCTGGCAATTCCTAAAGAGGTGTGACATCACTTCTAGGTGTCCCCCCCCCCGGTCTCACACTGTTTGCCAGACCATGCCTCACAACAGTAACTATTCTACAAAATTGTTATTACCTAATATTAGGCCCAAATATTAGGCCCACATGTATTTCAAAGAGAGTAAGTGAATCATTTAGTTAGCTCTCCAGTTGAATTCATTGGCACTCAGAAGTGCTGAACTGTGATGTATTCAGATTTCCTTTGTATGATCATGGGAAATGCAGATTTATCAAGCTCTATGTGGGGCCCACTGTGCGTTATTTGTGGGTTGTGTTCAGTATGGTGAAGTTGTATAGGTCTAGAGGAAAACTCAAGTTGTATAACTTATACAGTGTAAGTCTAGAGAAAATTAGAGCTGGATCATTGGATGGTAGGGTTGCCAGGTATGGGAGGACTTACCAGTAGAAAGAGAAAAGCCCAGACCACATCACCAACATCACACAGGAAATGATGTCATCATGCCTGTGACTTCCAGGTGACGCTCTGGTATTTGGGCAAAAGCTCTACGGTAAAGCCAGCTTCCACCATAGAGTTTTTGCCCAAATACCAGAGTGTCAACCAGAAGTTGTTGGCGTGATGACATCACTTACTGTGAGATGCCAGCAACATGACTTAGGTCTTCCCCTTTCTTCTGGTAAGTCCTCCCATTGGCTAGCTGATCAGCTGTTGGAGGGTAAGGCCTAGCAGCGAGGGATCCCTGCCTCCACAGGGAAATCTGGCAATTCAACTGGATGTTGCTTATGGGTATGTTTCTACTGTCATTTTCAAAACCCTACAGGAAGCAAAGGTCTTTGGGGATATCTACACTGTGTGGCTTCGTTCAGCCCCTGTGATTGTACTGAATGGATACCAAGCAGTGAAGGATGGCCTCGCTGCCCACCCTGAAGATTTTGCAGGCCGGCCAATAACCCCTTTCTTCCGAAGTGTGGGGGAAAAACGGGGTAAGATTGTCCTGTTTTCTTTTTTTCTTTTTTTTAAGCCCCCGGAGGGGATTTTTTAATTTTTTTAATACTACAAAAACTACCAAGAAAAAATAGGGATAGGATAACTACAACTAGGGAGAAAGAAAAGCAACCCACACTACACTAAAAACCCAAGGTTAGGAGATCATTCCCTGTTAAGCTACTGTTAGTAATAAAACAAAGATGTTAATAAACAATATACTTTGTGAGAACCTGTCTTTCTAAGCTTATATGTTAGTTTGTTTGTTACTTGTTATGAGAAGATTTCCCGAGCATCTCCTCCAGCTCGCTTCATAAAGGCAATTTTCAGAGTCCTTTCGCCTTTACATCTACACTAAGACTCTCTAAAATCTTAATAGCTTCTTAGACATTCACTCCAAATTCTGCAGCCCAGTCTTCCTCCATCTTCAAAGTGATAAAACCGCCAATCTTGAGCCTCTTCCTCTCTGGTCTCACCCTTGGGGCCCAGTGGCATCTCAAAAGTTTATTGATTGTGAAGGCAAATTCAAGTTCTTTTCTCTCAGCAGGATTTAAGATGACACTTTCTGAGAACACTTGCAAGGAAGGAGTGAAGTCCTTGTAAATCTTTCCTGTTTTTCTTGTACTTTTCCTCCTTTTCTCGTTGAGATCACTGTTTAATTTAGTGTTCATCTCTTTCACTTTAAAAGCCCTCAGTTCCATTTTTTCTGCTATCATTGCCAACTGGAGCTGCTGGGACACAAATTGTTGATTTATCTTGGCAAGCTGATGGTTAATACCAACAAGTTGCTCCAGAATCGGCTTGGTGGCTTCTGTTATAAGTGCAATAACGTCTACTCCCCTTCTTCTCGGAGTTGTTTTCGCCAACTTTTTTGGAGTGTCCTCCATTTTAACACTTTATTTTCAATATAAAATCGCGTTCTCCCTGGCTCTGAAAATCGCTTTACGTTGTTTAATAGCTTAAATGCTCATGGATATCTCCCACAACAGGCTTGTACGCTTTAAAATAAAGTATTTCAGAAATGTCCGTTTACAATTCTCTCTCTCCCCCCCTCCGCTTTTATAAATGCATCAGAGAGACATCCCTCTCTCAGCACGATTCAATCGCTTAAGAGATTTTTTGGGGGGGATTTCACTTCAAAGTATCCGTTTACAATCATTTCTCTCTCCCCCCCTCCGCTTATGTAAATGCATCTGAGAGGCGTCCCTCTCTCAGCACAATTCCGATCGCTCAAAAAGTTTTCCCTTTTTTTGGGGGGATTTTCTCTTCTGAAAACAATTCGCTCATTTTAACTCACAATTTATTGTGAGTTTATTGTTGGTCTTTATCTTGTTGGTCTTTAATCGCTCCTCCGCTAGATCTCCTGTGCTTGACCGGATCAACACAGCTTATGGCCTCACTAAGAGGACGCAGTCAGCGGGGGGCCCCCCCGTCAGGGCGGAGGGGAGCCTCCATCTCCCTGCAGATAGCAGGAAAAGAGGCTCACCCTCAAAAGCCCTATGGCCCGTGAGTTCCCCCCGAACTTCCATGGAGGTGCCAATCCAGCGGCATCTCTCCCCCTCGCTGCTGTATGGCACCCCTTCCCAGAGAGCTGGGAAAGGCGTCCACCATAGTTGTGCCGTAGACCCCGCCTCCAAGATTGTTCTGTTTTCATAGGAACCAGAGGGCAATGTTAGACATTTCCCATGACAGAACCCTGGTACCAACTCTATAGTTAAGTCGGACTGCATTTTTAATGCACTATTACTATAAAACATGACTTTTATTTTTTGTTTCAACATATGGTACATATAATTCCAAAGGGGTGAATGCTGTATAAACCTGCAGATTGGGGGAAGTGGGAATTTCTGGAGTTTAAAAAGCATTTCTGTCCAATGATACGCTCTCGATATATGTTGTTGGAGTGCAAAGGGTATAGGTGAAAGTATACTTTCTTTAGAAACCCCACTCTTCTGCCTTGTAGAGCATTACTATCAGACTCTGATGGAACGTCTCTACCAAACCATCTGGCGGTAGATCAAATTGAAGAATTGTTTTTTTAAATCTACAGCCTGACACAACGTCTTTATCATGCTAGATTTGAAAGGCCGCCTTGATTGGTGAGAAGATCTTTTGGCAACCCAACTCAGGAGAACAGCTGTATGAAAGTCTGATGCACCCCTAAGATCCCTATACATTTCAGAGGGATGTTCTATGATGTATGTCTGGGTCTTATTATGCTCTTATCACCCAGCCACCAGCAACATATAAATGCATTAAAAAAAGCCTGACCTGGGTGGCCTAGGCTAACCCGACCAGGGATGGGCGCAAACTGCATCTTTGCAGTTTGGTTCATGATTTGTGGCCAGTGTCATCATGCCCCTGTATAAATCAATGGTGCAACCTCATTTGGAGTACTGTGTACAGTTCTGTTCACCACACCTCAAAAAGGACATTATAGCATTGGAAAAAGTGCAGAAAAGGGCAACTAGGATGATAAAAGGGTCGGAACACTTTCCCTATGAAGAAAGGTTAAAGGGCTTGGGGCTCTTTAGCTTGGAGAAATGACGGTTGAGGGGTGACATGATCGAGGTTTACAAGATGATGCCTGGGATAGAGCAGGTAGAGAAAGAAGGACTTATCTCCCTTTTTCACAGTACAAGAACTTGTGGGCATTCCGTGAAATTGCTGAACAGATAAAAGGGTTAGAACAGATAAAAGGAAGTCCTTCTTCACCCAAAGAGTGATTAACACCAGGGGTCTTGTTGTAGAAAAAGAGCTGCCGGAGCTCATTAGCATAACTCATTAGCATAACTTATTTGCATATGCCACGCCCCCTGACATCACCGGAAGTGACAGAAGGCCACACCCCCTGACATCACCGGAAGTGTGTCAGAAGGCCCGGCTACTTACCCTCCTGCTTCATCCTCATTCCCAAACGGAATGAGGATCGAAGCAGAGGGCGGGGTAAAGAAGGGGCGGGGCTTCACCACGTGACCGCCCCACCCCCTAGAGGTTCTCTTCCGGAGCTCCATACCTGAGAGCTCCCCCCCGACTAGAGCCCTGAAGATAAATGAAATGAAGGGATCACTGCAAAAGCATCTTTATATGTTTGTGCATACCAACAGTATTACAGGGATCAGATGTGGAAGAAAAATCATACAGTCAAAATGGAAGCCGATGAAAATCATGCAAAACAATGCCAACGGGGGGGGGGGGACAGAGACCCCTGGGGGGTTCGAGCGGGGTAGTAAGTTGAAAGATAAAATAAAAATTAAAAAAAAAACAGTGGGAGGGTTTCTAGTGTCCTGGCCCCACTGCTGGACCTCCTGATGGCACCTGGTATTTTTGGCCACTGTATGATAGAGTGTTGGACTGGATGGGCCATTGGCCTGATCCAACATTGGCTTCTCTTATATTCTTAAGCATATGGAGCAGAAGTCCATCAGTGGCTATTAGCCACAAGGTATGCAGAGGAACTCTTGGTCTGGGGCAAGTGATGCTCTGTATTCTTGGTGCTTGGGGGGGGGGGCAACAGTGGGAGGGCTTCTAGTCCTGGTGTCAGGTTCCACAGCCAACAACGGAGTACACGCTTATCAGAAAGGTTGTACTTTATTGCAGAGCTATAGAGGCAGTAACGAAGTCACTGTTAAGAATGGCAACGTTCCTACAAGCATAATGGGATATAGGGTATTCGTATGCACCCCCCCTTTCCATAAGCCAATTAACCAGGCTCCCGCGTGTGGGAGAAGGGTCCCCAGGCCGTTAGAGGCTGCAGCTGGGAACCGAAAGCGCTCCCACGATTCCTGGCATCCCAGACACTACATCAGCAACCTGCAAGGTCATTGATAAGCAAGCAGTGCAGAAGCAAAAGTAAAGAAGCAGCATATGGCCACAGAGCATGAAAATGAATCCCGCCCCCATCATGGCAGCATAGCTGACACCTGGCCCCACTGATGGACCTCCTGATGGCCCCTGGTATTTTTGGCTACTGTGTGACAGAGTGTTGGACTAGATGGGCCATTGGCCTGATCCAACATTGGCTTCTCTTATGTTCTTAAACCACAAACTGATATGCTGTTTCATGAACCAAACTGGTTTGTGTCAGTCTGTGAGCCATTTAAAGTGTAAACCCCTGCTTTCTGCTCCCCGCAGCTTTTCCGTGTGTGCTATGTTTGATGCTCTCTGTACACATCAATAACGTTGTATCTGCAAAGGACAATGTAGGTCTTTTGCCGTTTCAGTATGCAGTAACATACACCCCGGAAAACCTGTTTTTCACATATGTCGAAATTGCAAAATACAGGTGTTGCCATCTTCATATACAATGGTAATTGTGTGTACTGAGCTGAGCTTGCATAACATGCTCTTCCAGTGTGTGGGATAGGAGCACTGGATATGTAACACCTGAAAAAAAGCTGGAGAGGAAACCCACTCCCCGTCTCCACGTATTGACTAAATGCACAGGGAGCAGATGAAATCATTATATCGCAGGATTAATCTTTGTTGGTCTAAAAGGTGACACTGGACTCAAACTTTGTTTCGTTAAGATAGTTCCAGGGGGTTAAGATAGTTGGTCTGAAGCAGTAAAACAAATTCAGAGTCTGGCGGTACCTTTAAGAGCAACAAAGGTTTATTCAAGGTATGAACTTTCATGTGCATGCACACTTTTTCAAATACATTGGAAAGGAAGCTAGAGTTCAAATTTATAGACGGAGGCTGAATACCAAATCAACACGTAACATGATGCAGACACTTAAAGGCCCCGGTCATACGGGCCGGAAAATGCGGGGGGGGGGAGCGTGGCTGCTTGCCCCGGAGCAAAATAGCGCACGGCTGCCCGATCACACGTCCTGTTGAGGTCCCGTGGTTAGGGCATGAGGTGCCGATCACACGGCTATCCTGCAGTGCAGCAAAGAAGCGGCGCGGCGCGATCACACCAGCAATCGCAAATGGGAAATTTTTTTTCTCATCAAAAGTTGAGCATGTGCATGATCCTTTGTGCGCATCCTGTGAAGACTTAAAAAAAAACAACTAACCCTCTTTGCGACAGGACTAGGACGGGATGCGATCAGACGCCCGCCCTTGTCCCGCGTTTTCCAGAAACTAGTACATCGTAAGTACTAGTTTTTTACTCCATATCTTTGGCACGAAGCCACGGCTTTGCCACGGGTGCACTACACTTCCCAGATGTTGCGGTGTGATCGCGCCCGGAAAATCCACCTATCATCCGTATCTTTAGCATGGCAAATGCTCTGGGTGAACGGGGCCAAAGATATGCAAAGTCGGCTTAAATAACAATCTAAGGTTATCAGGTCAACAGTTGTTTTGATTTAATTAAGGGAGGGAAAGGACAGTAAAGTAATAAATATGTCAAAATAGGGGATAAATGTGAAAAGGCATATTTTCTAATTGCGGGAATCAAACCATCAATTGCTACAGGTATTATGCTTGCAACCGGCGAAACGTGGAAGACCCAGAGACGATTTTCCCTCATGATCCTTAAGACCTTGGGCCTAGGGAGGAGAAGTATGGAATACCAGATCCAAGAGGAAGCCTGCCACTTGGTGGAATCCTTTATGAACATGAAAGGTACGGCCAGGGGTCTTGTTGTAGAAAAAGAGCTGCCGGAGCTCATTAGCATAACTCATTAGCATAACTTATTTGCATATGCCACGCCCCCTGACATCACCGGAAGTGACAGAAGGCCACACCCCCTGACATCACCGGAAGTGTGTCAGAAGGCCCGGCTACTTACCCTCCTGCTTCATCCTCATTCCCAAACGGAATGAGGATCGAAGCAGAGGGCGGGGTAAAGAAGGGGGCGGGGCTTCACCAGGTGACGGCCCCGCCCCCTAGAGGTTCTCTTCCGGAGCTCCGTACCTGAGAGCTCCCCCCCGACTAGAGCCCTGGGTACGGCATAGACGATGGTCCTTCAATGCAATTGAGAATCCTCAGGATTCAGATAATATTATAGCATGTCGATGTAAAGTAGGCTGTGAATGTGAATGGATTTACCACAAGCCTTTGATTCAGATGGGGGCTTTCAACCCTACGGAATTCTGGGAACTGTAGTTCTGTGATGGAGAACACGGCCTCTCATAGAACCATCGAGTTGGAAGGGGTCTCCAGGGTCATCTAGTCCAACCCCCTGCACAATGCCTCTCCCCCCACCCCCAGTGACCCTTCTCCATGCCCAGAAGATGGCAAAAGAAAAAATCCCCTCAAAGCCTATAGGATCCCTGGCCAAACTGGCCTGGAGAGAATCGCTTCTTGCTTCCTGACCCCAATGTGGTGATCAGCATTTCCCTGGGCGTGTAAGAAAGGGCCACGAGAACTAAGCACTGGTGCAACCTTTTCTGCCCTCCCTCTCATGATCTGCCTAAGTTCACAGAATCAGCATTGCTGTCAGATGGCCATCAAGCCTTTGTTTAAAAACCACCAAAGAAGGAGAGCCCACCACCTCCCGAGGAAGCCTGTTCCACTGAGGGGGTTGTTTTGCAAGCCATGGCTGAACCTCAAAGGCATTTAGAGGGTTCACGGTCCCTTAAGATGCCTTCTCCAAGTGGTGAATTCACCTTGAAGATGTTCAAAGGGACTTCAAGACCTTTAAAAGCCTTCTGAGTGAACTCACCATGGAGTCGTGTGCCTTGGAGAATACGGTCCCTTTAAATGCCCTTTAAGTTCAGCAATGAGGTGGCCCCGAAAATCCGAAATATTTTTGGGATTTTCAGGGCTTGACCATTTGGATAGCTAAAATTGAGCCCCATTTGGTAACCGGCTTAAAACTACCCCCAAATGCTGATACGGTTGGATTTTTTTGGCTTAGTTTATGCTGAATGCACACCCGCAGGCCCGTGGCCAGGATTTTGTGGCTCGTGGGACAATTTTTTTTCCTGGTGGGGCTGAAGTTCTCAATGACTAGGAAAATCTTTTCCCCCCCTGCCTTAAACAAATATGACCCCATTGAAGCTGCTCCCCTCCCTAAACACTGCCCTCCACAGGCTCAACCCCCTAAATCTCCAGGTATTTCCTGACATGGAGCTGGCAACCCTTCCAGCAAGCCACCTTCCCGTTGCAGAGATTCCAGCCTGAATCTCAAAGCAATTTGGCACACCTAAGGAATAAAGGGTTTTCAAGGGAAAATCCTGTGGGGCTGTCCCTTTAAGAAAGAGGGCAGAGCCCCCAAAGCCCCACCGTAACTACGGGCCTGCCCACCTCTGCTCCCTACAGGTAAGGTGAAGCTGTTCAGTGCTTTTGCAGAAACTTACAGATGTTGAGAGATCTCTTAATTACATAGAAAGACGACGTTATCCTTCTTCCCTTCTAAGCTCTTGCTTTCAGCTTTTTTGGGGTGTGTGTTTGTGGGTGTGCAAATATATGTTTTGTATCAAGGGAGTGAAAGTCTAATTCTCTGCTGCTGTCTGCCATAGCTACCTTGGAAACCTGGTTGAGTGTGTGGTATATAACTTTATTAAATAAATGAAATGTCCCCTGATGTCCAGTCTGTAGTATGAATGGGAATACAAAGATCCCCCCCCCCGATTATTCATATTTTCCTGGTTTTATACATTTTTCTCCTAAGTAAGGTTTTATTTCATTAGGATGTGATGAAGGCCTACTAAGTGGTAGGACTTTCTCTTGTAGGTTAGATTATTTTTCTAGCTGATGCTAGCAGACAAGAAAACAACATTATTTTGGTATAGAAAATAGGTATAGAGTTCATGGAGATTTTTAGTTGTTTAGGGTAAAACTTTGCAGTGTCTGGGTCATAAAGATTTTAGCTTCGTATCAGGAAAAAAACACCTTTGTTTGGGTATGAAGAATCCTTGGCCAATATTATTCAGATTAGGTTAAGTGAACATTTAAGATATTATGTAGGCACACCTTTCTTCATATTTAACCAATGAGTGGACTATTACTCAAATGATGCACTGTCCTTTGTAACCAATTATGCTTTTGGAATGTTATCTTCATGACTATGTCATTTCAAGTATAAAATTTCATGTACTTCCTGGTTGTGTTCAGAAAGCAGTCAATTTTTGATTGGCTAAGTTTGCCCTAACTGTCTTCAGGTTTCTTGATTGCAATTAAAACACTATGAACCTTACACCTCATTTTGACTTCTTTTTTTGACTGGGAATCTCTTTGTATAACAAGTCTGTCTACAGGAGAGGCAGGCTGCCTGTCATTCTGCAGCAGTCCTATCTGCCTTGCCAGCTAGTACAAGCAAAGCATTTCCCTCTGTTCTGTGGGTGGCTTGAAAACTGCTCTACGGCCCCGGGCACACGGGCCGGATATCGCCGGGGGGGGGGGGGGGGGGGCTAATTGCCCCGGTGCAGTTTGATCAGCGATTACGTGATCAGACGCGCCAGCGGCACACCACGGATCCTTCCCTCGGTGCCGGCGGGTAAACGAGGGACCAGAGGGGAATGCTGCGCGCTGGCGCAATCTGGAGGCAGCCCATGGCAAACGTTTACTAGTACCTTGGAGGTACTAGTTTTTTAAGGCACATTGTCGGTGGTAAGCCACGGGTGTGCTCCACTTCCCAGATGTTGGGGTGTGATCGCGCCCAGATAATCCACCCACCATCCGTGCCTCTCCTGTGGCAACTTTGCCGTGTGACCGGGGCCTACGCTTTGCATTTCTAGCTAGTATTGTGGGAGAGAAGAGGAGGCTAAACAGTAGCTGCTGACCTTAGGTCTCCTAGTGAGTTCATGGCTGCCATGAGACTTGAACCAGAGACCTCCGGGACCACAGCTCATACTCTTGACCACTATGTCAGATCCACAAAAAATGGGCTAACAATCTGCACCATTCCCTCCCGTTCCAGGAAAGCCCATGAACCCTTCTTTCTTCCTCACGCTTGCCGTTTCCAACGTGATCTGTGCCGTTGTCTTTGGCCACCGTTTCTCCAACGACAACAAAGAGTTTCATCAACTGCTGGAAACTGTCGAGAATTTCTTCAAATCTGCAGGCAGTGCCTGGATATATGTGAGCAAACTATATATATATATATATATTGTGCTTCTTTTTCTCTTTCACCTGAAAGAGTCAGGATAAGATGTTAACATGACTAGGCAACTCAGAAAGGTTTGAGGTAGTTGTGTGGAACCATAGTAGCTCGATGTGAAGAGACTCTCTTTAGAAAAATTATGAAGAAGAGTTGGTTTTTATACCCTACTCTTCACTACTCAAAGGAGTCTCAGAGCGGCTTACAATCGCCTTCATTTCCTCTCCCCACAACAGACTTCCTGTGAGGTAGGTGGGGCTGAATGAGCTCTTTTGAGAACTACTCCTGACACAAGGTCACTCTGCTGGCTTCATGTGGAGGAGTAGGGAATCAAACCCAGTTCTCCAGATTAGAGTCTGTCACTCTTAACCACTACACCATCCGAGAGTTCTGAAAGAACTCAAATGTGAACTTGTGGATCTCCTGACAAAAATATGTAATCTTTCCTTAAAATCTGCCTTTATTCCTGAAGACTGGAAGGTAGCTAATGTCACTCCCATCTTTAAAAAGGGTTCCAGAGGAGATCCGGGAAATTACAGGCCAGTCAGTCTGACGTCGATACCAGGTAAATTGGTGGAAACCATTATTAAGGAAAGAATTAGTAAGTACATAGATGAACAAAACCTACTGAGGCAGACTCAGCATGGGTTCTGTAAGGGAAGATCTTGTCTCACTAACCTGTTAATGTTCTGTGAGGGGGTGAACAAACACGTGGAGAAGGGGGAGCCAATAGATATTGTTTACCTTGACTTCCAGAAAGCTTTTGATAAAGTTCCTCATCAAAGGCTCCTAAGTAAGTTCAAAAATCATGGGATAGAAGGACAAGTCCTTTTATGGATCAAAAACTGGCTAGTTCATAGAAAACAGAGAGTGAGTGTAGGTGGGCAATTTTCTCAGTGGAGGGTGGTAAGCAGTGGGGTACCGCAGGGATCAGTACTTGGTCCACTGCTTTTTAACTTGTTCATTAATGATTTGGAGATGGGAGTAAGCAGTGAAGTGGCTAAATTTGCGGATGATACGAAGTTGTTCAGGGTGGTGAAAACCAGTGAGGATTGTGAGGCACTCCAAAGGGATCTGTCAAAGTTGGGCGAGTGGGCGTCAACATGGCAAATGGGGTTCAATGTGGCCAAGTGCAAGGTGATGCACATTGGAGCCAAAAATCCTAACTATAAATACACGTTGATGGGGTCTGAACTGGCAGAGACTGATCAAGAGAGAGATCTTGGAGTTGTAGTAGATAACTCACTGAAAATGTCGAGACAGTGTGTGACTGCAATAAAGAAGGCCAATGCTATGCTGGGGATTATTAGGAAGGGTATTGAAAACAGATCAGCCAATATCATAATGCCCCTATATAAATCAATGGTGAGACCTCATTTGGAATACTGTGTGCAGTTCTGGTCACCACACCTTAAAAAGAATATGATAGCTTTGGAAAAAGTGCAGAAAAGGGCAACTCGAATGATAAAAGGGTTGGAACATTTTCCCTATGAGGAAAGGTTAAAGCCGGTTAAGGCGCTTAGGGCTCTTTAGCTTGGAGAAACGACGACTGAGGGGTGACATGATTGAGGTTTATAAGATTATGCATGGGAAAGAGCAGGTAGAGAAAGAGGTACTTTTCTCCCTTTCTCACAATACAAGAACTCGTGGGCACTCCATGAAATTGCTGAGTGGTCGGGTTAGAATGGATAAAAGGAAGTCCTTCTTCACCCAAAGAGTGATTCACACATGGAATTCACTGCCACAGGAAGTGGTGGCGGCTACAAGCATGGACGGCTTCAAAAGGGAATTAGATAAGCATATGGAGCAGAGGTCCATCAGTGGCTATTAGCTCGGGGGCAAGTGATGCTCTGTCTTCTTGGTGCTTGGGGGGGGTCAACAGTGGGAGGGCTTCTAATGTCCTGGCCCCACTGGTGGACCTCTTGATGGCCCGTGGTATTTCTGGCCACTGTGTGACACAGTGTGTTGGACTGGATGGGCCTTTGGCCTGATCCAACATTGGCGTCTCTTATGTTCTTATGTTCTTTTGGGTAGTGAAGGGCGGGGTATAAATCCAATCTCTTCTTCTTCCTCAGTTCACATTCAGATGGCAGTCAAAAGAAGAGAGAGAGGCCTAATCTAAAGAGTGTTTTCCCTATCACAAATGGCCAGCTTGTCCGGCATCACATGTGCAGGAGTATGAGGGCATTGTTTCCACAGGAGAGACCTGCAGGGACATGTTTCTCCATGGAAGGCCATGTGAAGAAGAGTGAGAGGACAAAGGGAGAGAGAGGAGGGGGTCAGAGGGCAGCTCCCGACAAAGAGAGGCGTCCCATTCAAAGAGATGACACCTATGCACCCTTGGAGTGATGTAGCGCCCCCCAATGTCCAGGCATGCTGAGTCGCTCGCTCCAACAGGAGGCACCATAGAGAATGCGCGTGAAGAGGCACTAGCCAATCTGACCTCTTTGCAGGGCGACATTTTCAGTAGGCTTTCTTCAGGTGGGTTTTCAAGGCAAGAGACGTTCAGAGGTGATTGGCCATTGCCCGTCTCTGCGGAGTGAACCCGGACTTTCTTGGGGATCTCCCTTCCAAGTACTAACCAGGACCGCCCCTGACGAGATCGGGCTAACCTGGGCTATCCAGGTCAGGGCAAAACACAACCACTGGCCTGGTTTATTCCATTTACAAAACGGGGTTGTTTTTTTTAATTTCGGGAGTTGCGTTCTACCACTCGGCATAGCACCGGAGACCACACCGGATCTCCCAGAGCCAGTTTGGTGTAGTGGTTAAGTGTGCGGACTCTGATCTGGGAGAACCGGGTTTGATTCCCCACTCCTCCACTTGCACCTGGCTGGATGACCTCTGGCAAGCCATAGTTCTGATAAGAGCTGTCCTTGAAAAAGAGCCATTTCTGTCAGAGCTCTCTCAGGCCCACCGACCTCACAGGGTGTCTGTGGTGGGGAGGGGAAGGGGAAAGGAGTTTGTAAGCCACTCTGAGACTCCTTCGGGTAGTGAAGGGCAGTGTATAAATCCAATCTCTTCTTCTTCTTCTTCTTCTTCTTCTTCTTCTTCTTCTTCTTCTTCTTCTTCTTCTTCTTCTTTTCTCAGAGCTCTCTCAGCCCCACCCACCTCACAGGGTGTCTGTTGTGGGGAGGGGAAGGGAAAGGAGTTTGTAAGCCGCTCTGAGACTCCTTCGGGTAGTGAAGGGCAGGGTATAAGCCCAATCTCTTCTTCTTCTCTTGTAGTTTTCTCAGCACTCCGGTTTCTTCTGCCCCTTTCTAGGTCTACGATATGATGCCCTGGCTGATGAAGCACGTCCCAGGCCCTCACAACGATGTATTTTCTGACTGCGACGCCGTACGTGCATTCATAAGGAGCGAGATCCACAAGCATCAGGAAAGGAGTTCTCCAAGTGAGCCGGAAGACTTCATTGATTATTACCTTGCTCAGATAGAGAAGGTAAGCAGCTGCTGGGTTTGATGCCAAAACGAGGGTTGCCGGGTCCGGCCTTGGCCCCAGCAGGGGACTTTGGGGGGGTGCGTTCCCGTAGGGGGCGGGGACGTCCCCAGTGTGATGATGTCACATTGGGGACATCCCCCCAAGCTCTGCCCTCAACAACGGCCACCCGCAGCCACCCCCTCTCCTTTCCCTTCTGCGAGATTTCAAGGCCCTCCAGATGATTCGTGGGTCACGTGTTCCCCAGGCCCGTAGCTAGCGTGGGGCCCACAGGGCCCGCCCCCCGCGGTTATTATGGCCCCCTCCCCCAGTCCTTGGCTCCCCCTCCCTC